ATGCCGCCCAATCGAATCCGAGAAGCCCTTTAACCGCATTGCGGAAGCCGAAGAGAAGAACAAACCTTGGCCAGTGCGGCTTTAATGTATCTAAGGATACGATGAGTAGTAAGAAGGTGTGATTGAGTGGGGTGAGCTAGAAATTGAGAGAGCTGCTGTATCGCAAAAGACAATCAGTGTCGGAGATGTTGAGATAAAGAAGTCCGCCAATAAGCCTTCCGTAAGATGTTGAGATGTTGAAAATTCTATGGGATGAACTTACGAACCTAAGGCCCATTCCTTCTTGTGTTTGCAATCCCGTGTGCACATGTACCGCACTCACTGTCATTCACAACTATAGATCAAATGATTATGTCATCGGATTTTTGAAGGGATTGAATGACAATTTCTCCATCGTCAAGTCCCAAATCATGCTACCGGATCCTCTCGCCCTCGATCGGTAAAGTGTTTGCTCTAGCTTCTCGGCATGAGAGGCAATTCATATCCGCTCCCGGCTCTTCTTCGTCCAATAACACAACTCGCTAGTGCCTTTTATGGAAAGGTCGTCTCTGGAAACCAAAGAAGATTTCGTAATCATCTCCGGAATCCAAGAAAGTTTTACCCACCAAGGAACTATTCCGTAGAAGCACTCGTTTGTTCCTTCGCAACGGAGAAGGACACACTATTGACAAATGTTACAAGAAGCATAGTTTCCCTCCGGGAATGAGGAACAAGTTCGGATCAACAGGAAGTTCTATCAATCGGGTAGTTGTTCCTCCAATTGCCGAAGATCACCTAGATTCCAATCAAAACATTCACTCGCGGGACCTCAATCCGCTAGCTTGCGAGCACTCAATCTGCAGGCATCACCTCACTCGGGACCGGTATTCAAAGCTAATGGCTCTTATTCAACCTAACTCCACTCCCACAGTAACTCCTCATATCAATACCATATCCTCTAATTTTGCTCCTATATATGAAATGTCGAGTAATTCTGTTTCCACATGTTCTTTCTTAAACAATGTTAAAACATTTAAAAACCACACTCGGATACTTGACTCGGGAGCAACGGATCACATCATCTGTTCCATTGATTATTTTACCTCATACAAACCTATCACTAATACGTTTGTAAAACTCCTAATCGGCCACCTCACACACGTTTCTCACATTGGTCAAGTTCAATTTTCTCCCGATTTTATACTCGCATTCAACTTTCTTCGTTCCTACTTTTTCATTTAATCTCATCTCTACCGACAAACTTTGCTCTAACTCGATTATTGTGTTATTTTCAAATATGATCGTTGCATTATTTAGGACCTTACATGTTGGAGGACGATTGGATTGGGTAAACAACTACATGGTCCGTATCATCTTGTTCATCCTCGACTTCGCAAAATGCAACCCTCCCGCATTCAATTTCTTCTACTCGTACCCCTTAATTCCATAAATAGCATTTCACAAAATAATTCATTTAACTCTCAAATTTGGCATAACGATTAGGCCACATTTCTACTCGTATAATCAAACTCCTACAGGCTATAGATCCCTCCATTTCAGTTCACTCGATGTAATCTGTGATGTTTGTCATTTTGCCAAACAAAAGAAATTACCATTCCATGTCGATACTTCGTTACAAATGCTTGTTTCGATTTAATTCACACCGATATTTGGGGCCCTATGTATGTTTGTACCATTCACGGACACAAATATTTCCCGACCATTGTTGATAATTTCAGTAGAGCTACTTGGGTTTTTCTCATGAAAACTAAAACCGAGGCCGGATCACTACTTTAACGTTTTTGCTCCGATACCATAATGAAATAACGAAAAGAAAAGGTAAGTTGGAAGGAAAAATTTCTCACACTTTATTAATGTGAACTTGATGGGTATATATACAAGTTTGTAAAACGAATCGCTAATAACTAATTCTAGCTATCTTTAACTAATCATATGATTAGGAGAATTAATTTTGTAATTAGTTACGAACTGTGCAAAACCAACTAAGTAACGGAAAAGGGAAAGGTGCCATGCTTCACGGATACGACGACAAAGATGTAGGTGCGAGTTTGAACAAACTCTACAGGTGTATACTACGATGCTTCAAAGATGCGAGCAGTAGGAATGCAAGTGTAATCGATGACTTCCAATAAGAGACGTGATGTAATTAGAAATCTAGAGGTAGATGAAAGATTTTGACTATTATATAAGAATAAATGAATATGTTTACCCAATAATCAAAGTGGGATCCGATTTTTTATCATATGTTAATTAAAAATTGTTCCATGATAGTTCATCTTAAACACATCATTTCCATCTCAAGTAATTATAGACATTAAAAAATAATCAAAATTTGAACACTTAAGTAAAAGAATTTATCAATTGAACACTAAAATAAAATGAAAAAAATCAAAAGTTAGCCTTCAAATTGTAGTTTTTCCTTTTTTTTTCAAAATAAGAACACATGAACCAATACAATTCTTGCTTACCAAACAGGAATGAGAATGAAGGAATTGAAATGAGAATCGGGAAATGAAGCACTTAGAAATGGGAATAAAGGAATTAGAATGAGAATTAGAGAATCGGAATGACAATTTAAATTCAATTGTTGTGTTTGATATCTTACTATTGAAAGTTGGAATGAAATATTGAAATAACAAATACTATTGTATCCCTCAATGTCCTTAATAAATTTTGTCACATAGCAATTAAAAATTTTTTAAAAATATATACGAAGATTTTTTTATTATTCTTTAAAAATAAACTAATTTGTGTTTCCGAAAGTATCCAAGAAATGAAAATACACATGCCTCCTTCTCTTTTTGACTAAAGGACCTACTGTACTTAAAAAGCCCACTGCAAAACCAAGTGACCTGTTTGTATAAAAACAATCCATTTCAAGTCCCAGGCCATATGTCTTCTCTTCCAATCTCAATGTCAGGCACAAAACTATTTATGCTGCAATCAGGAAGTGGAGGCCCACAAAGCTCATTGTTCATGAAACTGAATGCCTCAAAAGTTTGTAATTGAGTGCCTGAAGGAATTTTTCCTGACAGTTTGTTGTCAGATAATTTCAGGTGACTCAAAAAACGTCAAACTTGATCTGCTTTGAGGGATTTTGCCGGACAGTTGATTCAGCGATAAATCAAGAGATTCCAGTGACTGCATAGCACCTATATCTTCAATAATTCTTCCGTTTAAAAGATATCATGACAGATTCAGAAACTGCAATCCTCTAAGGCTTGTTATTTCCTTAGGAATCTCTCCTGATAATTTATTATCAGAAAGATCTATACTTCCCACAAAAACTTTCAGCAAAATCTGTTTTATACTATTCTTATGAATTGCAGGGATGCTAGCAGGTATTCCCACCTGTTATAAGAATTGGAAACTGCATATTTCCCAAAATTTGTTGTCACTCCACTGGTTAGCTTAGCAAGAACAGAGAACTTCAGATGAACCCCAATGGCATTAGTGGTTCACAAATATTCTGAATTCCTACGTGACGTCAAAAAAGATGTAGAAAATTCAATCCATAATCTACGAGACTTCCCCCAGCATTTGCATCTTCCTACTGCTTGTCTTCGGATTTCTCCAGCTTTACCACGATGGATTGTATGGAAGTACAAAGTAACCTCAACTTTGCGTTTTTTTTCCTCAACTGGAGGCGCGCGATGTGAAATTTACGTATTAGTATTGAAAATATGTCATAATTAACGTTAGTATTGTATTAAGAGTATAATAATCAATCAAAAGTTTTCAAAAGTTTGTGTTTATATATATATATATATAGTACTTATGGATGTGAGATATAAAAAATATTTATCCCTTTTCATATTTAGTCAATAAATTCTTTTGTTATTTGTAAAATATAATGTAAATATTTATTTTTTATGAGTTAATAAGTAGCTCAAATTTTTTTTTTATCTGAATCAAATAATAAAATAGTGGTACATTTTAGTTAGACCATCATAAATACTACACAATGCAAATGATTATTATAATTTATTTTCACAAAAATAATGTAATCGACATATTTTTATTTTCCAGATACAATTAAGACATTTCTTCATTTAGCTTGGCCATCATATTGTGATATTTTTTAAACCGTGGCCAGCAAGAGAAATCTCATTTAGGATTTTCCTGCAACATAGTTTTTTCACCGACACCTGCAAAAAAAATTCTCACAATTACGGAACTTGAAATTAATTTAATAATTACTAGTTGTGCTGGTTCAAAGACTGTCCATCCAAGTATTGGTCAGTAGGTGAATTGGTGGATGGAGCATTTATGAGATCTCCTCAGAAATGTCCACTGATGATCGAGGAGAAAACACAAGACCAGAGTACTTCATGTACACAAGAAAAGCAGTCATTGTTACGGGCCAAGGCAGAAATATTGAATTCCCATCGACAATCAAAGGTCAATACAATCAACCGTGGAAGTGAATTATTTGTTTTATTTTCCCGTTGCATTGGAAAATACAGTGACTTCCCTAATGTGCTATGGAAAGGAAAGAAAAACTAAAAAGGTTAATGGAGAACGAAAGTGGCGTCCTTTTCTGATTCCATGCAAAGCCTAAATGGTCAGGTTGATTACTAGTAAAGGTTGCTTGGTGTATTCTATGTTATGCTCCGAATATCTGATGAACATTTTGGCTTTAGAAAAACCTAATTGCCATTAACTAAAGTTATTGAGTTGACATGCATGAGTTAAAACAAAGAAAACACAGAAAGAAGTTGCATTCCAATTATTGAAACACATCTGATATTTCGAATTGATCTATTTCTCATTAGTTGCAATACATAAATCCCAATAATTGGGAAGCCCCAAATTAATTAAGGCAGTGAGGAGTGATTAATGAGAACATAATTATGTTTACAACATTAATTAAGTGTAAAAACTAACATTACAATTACAAAATATGTATTAGAATGGAAGCTGATAATCCTTCTATTTTTACCTGCACTGCCCACTTTAAATTTGCCAAAAGCTTGGTTTCCAAGGTAAAGCGTGCACGTTTAATGTCCACCACCACCACCACTGCCTGAACCACTTCCAGCACCAGCTCCAACTCCAATTCCTACACCAATGCCAACTCCAAATCCTCCACCAGCGCCACCACCATGACCTCCACCAAGGCCACCTCCTGCTCCTCCACCTCCACCAGCACCACCACCTAAACCTCCACCAGATCCACCTCCTAGACCTCCACCTGCCCCAAAGCCACCACCATGTCCTGATCCACCACCTAGACCTCCACCTCCTCCGCCACCACCACCGCCACCTCCTCCAGCACCACCTTCGAGACCACCACCACCTACACCACCTCCAGCTCCAAAGCCTCCACCATGACCTGAACCGCCACCAATACCACCACCTCCTCCTCCTCCACCACCTCCACCACCGCCGCCCCCAGCACCAACCCCTCCAGCTCCACCTCCTATCCCTCCTCCAGCTCCAAAGCCTCCACCATGTCCTGACCCACCACCAACACCACCTCCTCCACCACCACCAAAACCACCACCTCCACCGACACCACCTCCAGCGCCACCACCTACACCTCCTCCAGCTCCAACTCCCCCACCATGACCAGCTCCACCTCCAACACCACCACCAAATCCACCACCTCCTCCAGCACCACCTCCAGCACCACCACCAAGTCCTCCTCCAGCACCACCTCCACCTCCAAGTCCACCTCCAGCACCACCTCCACCTCCAAGCCCTCCACCACCACCAAGTCCTCCTCCAGCACCACCTCCACCTCCAAGTCCACCTCCAGCACCACCTCCACCTCCAAGCCCTCCACCACCACCTCCTAGTCCTCCCCCACGTCCACGACCAAAGCGGCCTCTACAACGTCTTCGATTCCACCTACAATCATCATCTCGATATCTAGTTTTGTCAAGCTTGTCATCACCAAGGGTGATTGCACTCAAATGAAGGGTAATGCACAAGAAAAACAGAAGAAAAGAAACCCATTTTGAGGATATCACACCCATGGCTTTCTGTTTATGCTATGTTAATTAATTAACAACGTTCTTTGCAGCTTTTGCATGCTTTTCTTTGCATCAGGACTCTCCTTATATAGGGTCTATCCACTGCAGTATTTGGGCAAATCCACTAAACAGACATTATTAATTGGTGCATGTTAATGTGACGCGTTGGAACCGTTGGGCCAATGGCGGGAACATTTAATGAGCAAATTAAAAGTCAACTAGATATGTACGTTTATATTTACGTGGAAAAATGGAGGATTTTACCTGTTCACAATTGTACTCCTATTTTTAATTTAGAGTAATTTGTAATGTAAGCATTATATATTATTAAACACACAAAATGAAACTCCCTAAATATTAACCTTTTAAAAAATAAAAAAATAATACCCGAGATAATATCAACTTAAAATTGCCAGATTAATTCAAGTTATTTGTTGTTTAAATCATATCAAACACTCCATTCAAAAATATTAGTGTCAGTAAAATGAGTTCTAATAATTTAAATAAGTGATTTCAGATTTCAATCTCTTTATATACATAAAACTTTTTAGATAAATGTACTCATCTTGTGCATTCGACGGAATAACAAAAAATAAGTCCGAGTTTTTGGGTTTGGGATATCTTGAAAGTCCAAAAAAAAAAAATCATATTAAGCACTCCATCATGAGTATTTTCTTTTCTTCTTCTTCTTATTATTTTGTTTTAATTAATTAGTTTAATGATAAGTGTATTTTCAAGTTAATTTTTACACATTTAAATTAAATCTTTTTTATGAACAGTTTTAAGTAAACTGTATTCACATGAAATTATTTAATTATAACTTATTTATGATTTAAATTCTTCATGATATATAGTAGGAAGAGTAAATCACTTTTAATAATTAACATATGCGAATGGCTTTTTTTTTTTTTTTTTGTTTAATTCAAGATAATGCTCAATAAGCTTCTTCCCTTTTATCGTTCAAGACTAGTTTTGAATTACACAATAGAAGTAGCTCGCTCTTCTCCATTCTTAAATTCCATTTCATCCAATCATTTTTCAGAATTAGAACTTTAAATAGAAATACGACGCTCAATTTCCTTTAGTACCCCCACTTATCAAACTAAAAGAGAAATTATATATACATAGGACCATCTAAGGATATCCCATTTAATTTGACAATTAATTTTTTTTATATGGTTTGCTATCTCTTTAATTCTTCTGTTTGAATTTAATCATTTGCATTGCTGGATAAGCATGGAGTCAGTCAATCTATGTAAGGTATGCCCAAAATATGATACGTACTTAATTTTAAGCTCTCAGTCAACTCTGACAACCCTTGAACGCTGCATGCTCCCTACCCATCTCTACTTGAACTAACCGAGTATGGAGTATTTATCATTCGTACCAATTCTCAATCTATTTGTGCAAGAATTCCACCAACTACATTAAATGCAATACTGATGAACTGGATTAAGGAATTGTTTATATATATAGTACGTCTAAAATGCAAGAGGTCTTTAATATATACTTCAATGATCTTTGATCAATAATATTGATTTTCACATCGTCGACCTAGTTAATACCACCAGTTTGTTTTGCTAAACTAATTAAGGTTGAAACCAAACAGAGGACCCGGTTTGTTCTTCCAGTTGCAGAAGTCATGTGAACCAGTAGCTAGCAGGTCAATGGTCTTCGGCAAGGAAGTTAAGTCTAAAACATAAATGCATTACTGCAGACGTAGTTAACAGTCGGCAAGGTTGTCATGATATCTCATTTATGACCAGACTGGGTGATTGAATGCTCAAAACCAGAGTTGTGATCCGTAGTTCAACTTTTAGAAATTTCCATAACCAGAATCACAAGGTTTTCTACATAGTGAGGAATCCTGATGAAGGAATTGGAAATATCGTACACTCATAGTTATATATCTATTGAATGAATATCCCAGGTTCTAATAGTAATTGAATACAATGAAATTAAGTTAGGAATAAGTGACAACAAAAACAACAACATCACGTAAAATTGGCTCGAGTCAAGCCTTTTGCATGTCCCGTGGAAATCTGCTATCCTAGATTAAACCTGAACGTGTCACCCCTTCGTGACAGTCTGCAGATCATGGTGCTCTATACAGGCTGAGTTCGACGTCCGGCTGCCCGACCACAAAGAAGTGCATTTGTGGGGATTGGATATTCATCTCTCCACGAATTTGCTGGGGAATAAACTCGAAGATAGAATTGGTGTCCTAAGTACTGGCGTGCCCAGTTCTCAGACCTTACATTCCACATTCCCACATTGTCCAAAGGCATGTAAACTGCAGTCCATGACTCAGGATAGACCTGTATTGGATCAAACATTGTAAATGTCATATATAAGCATCTTCCTTATAGGATGAGAATTTCATAAATAAGGCGAGCCCATCTCAGTGCTTATGGACTAGAGCACGAAGAGATTAGGGAATGGTGATTTTTCACAACCAACATATGATCTGAAACTCAGAAGATTGCTCAGAAAGCAATGACTAAGTTGGAAAAGAAGCTTCATGTTATTTATCATAAGAAAGGAAAAGGAGATGTTTTAGAAACAGTGCAAGTGTTGGTTGCCATTTTGAAATCATGCGGCATTGTGCACAATGCTCAATAATGTTAATTCGGGACTATTAAACATGTTTCAAGAGAAAAAACTTTGCTTATTGAATCAGGAAAAAAGCAAAAGAATGTAGTAGTTTGTCCAATTACAGAATATGGCAAAATCTATATAAAACTGGTAGGCTACTTCAGAAAATTGACATACCAAAGGTGAAGAGAAAACTTAAGAAATTTCCAGCTTTCTGAAAAGTCTACTATAGCAATAAAAGAAGCAATCAAACCTACTCCAATGCCACTGATCCAAATTAACACGAGACTAAATGAAAGAAATCTTACGATCCGCAAATTTTCTGATATTAATAACAATTCTGTATTGTAATGTACCTGAACGGTGCAACGAGAAATTGTGTCTCTCAAATTATAAGTTAATCTGCTTGCAGGTGACCACTGCCCTCCATCCATCCTGCTCATCAGAAAGTATCCAGATTAAGGAATCCAGTAGATAAACTGCATGGTCCAATCAAGTAATGATGAACTTACCCCACAACAAAGAAGTTGTGGCCATCAATGTGCCAGGACTGCACATTATCTTCTGGATTCTCAAAAACAATCTCAGCATAACCTCTGAAATCAGCAGCCATGACCGAAGTCTGGAGGTAAGCACCACCACCAGTGGGGTTGTCTGAGATGCTTCCAAGGGAGAAAACTCCAGGGATATTGAAGTGGTCCGCAAGTTTAAGTGGAGTATCAGCAGGGATGAAGGACACACTATTGACAGCATACCTCTGCTTGCCATTAATTATCGGAGCAGAGTTCTGAAGTCTAACTGTACGAGTTGTGTTGATCAATCCATAGTGGTAAGAGCCTTGAGGGTTAGGTCTTGGGCCACTTGCACTAAGATTCCGCCTGATAAATATGAAGGGGCACAAATCAGTAAGAGAATTCCTGTAGTATGCAAAAGACACTCTCCTTGGCTTCTTGCCATTATTCATCATAACACCCATGGAGATCATGTATGTTGGTTGCAACAAAACAATAACTGAAGTTTACAGTTATATGACAAATATATAGGATCAATGCTCATAATTTCAGAAAATGTTTTGTTTCTCACTTCTTCTCGGGTAATTACAACACCACTAGCTAGGAAAATGAAAGTCATTTTTTACTCTGAAGGAGCAAAGATCAGCATGAATGCTATAATTATTGCACCGGTGAGGAGCTCAACAACAGGATCCGGAAATACCTTAAGGATCGAGCTTGTTCAAGAGACCAATCAATCTGAATAGTTGGTCCACCAGGCGGCGTATCCGAAACCCTTCCTGCTGCATTACTGTAATGAAGAATGGAGGTAGTAGTGAGCACCTGAGAGGTGAAGCGTGTTGAGACAACAATGAAGTAATCTTGTGCTGCTTGATCAGCGGTAACCAAAACAGAATACGATTGCCCCAAATGGATATCAAGGGAATCGTAAGTGTTTTGCAGTGAGTGAGTTCCTTCAACCTCCACCAGTAACATTTTATGCCCCTGGATTCTGAAATTGATGGAAGTGGTGAGCCCCACATTTGATATGCGTAACCTGTAAGTCTTGCCTGACCAACATTCAACACAAAATAATCCCAATTTGAGCACTGTAACTATATGTTTAAATTCAAGCTGAAGTGACTGCTGATCATAATTGATTACCTTGATCAACTGTGAATGTGTAACCATTTGATCCACGACCATTGATAAGAAGGCCATCGGAAAGAGGAAGATCACTCCCACCATCTAAAATTGCTTTTAAATCCTGCAAGATCGGACATAAGCCCATTGATGAGAACATATGACACTAAATATGTCATACCTCTATCTTTCAACTTTCCTACTTAATTCTATGTGTGTTGGGTAGTTAAAATTTGCTTCAAGCACGATACTTACAGTATGATTCTTCTTAAACCAATCACCAGCCAGGATTGTGAAATCTCCCGCAGGAGGAGGGAATGGCACAGGAATGACAGAACGGCTAGCGATTTTAAAGCCACCAAAGCCCCCCGCAGCCTTGTGCATGCCAAGGGAAGGGAAATAAAAGTAACTACCAATCTGGTCCTTCACCTGGAGCACATAAGTGAAGTTCTGCCCAGGTGGGATGGGGCAGTTGGTACCATAGACTCCATCTTGCCATGAATTTCTTCTCTGCTGCACACCGTTCCTAAACAGGGATTACAAGACTTATGATTAGTTACGAAATATCATCCCAAGCACTTCCTATCTTCCACACACAGGGAAAGCATGATCATACTATCCTATTAAATGGGACGAAACTAGAGTGTCAAATCCTTGTTATTTGCCTTTGCATTCCACAGGCTAACTCATCGGATCACCCTCCTCACACTTGCCTAGTGGCAAATGTGTATAATATTCAGCTCATATCCCAGCAAGGACATAACTTAATTCTCCTAAAATCCATTCTGAAAGATCCAGATAAGATACAATATCCATAGCGTCTACTGATCTAGATCTGACCAAGCCTACATCAAGTCATAACATGGTGAGAGCTCTAACTGAACCCATTCTTGTGCATAAATCAGATCCAGGCATACCATTTACTTATTAGATACAAGTGTAATAACCACCAATTCAACAATCCAATCATAAAGAACATTTTTTTTCTTTCTAGATATCTATTATCTGTGTTCTTTGAGGTCCAAATTATGGATGTCCTGTACCGCCATTAGTGTAAGTTTTTCCTGCTAGCAGTGATAGATAACACGCAGAGTGCTTGCCAGAGCAACCTTACTCCAGTCCTCCAGTTTGACCACAGGAAACCAAAGCAACCAAAAGCCCTTACATATCATTAGATTGTTCCCAACCAACGTCAAAGGTGCCTAAAAGTTCCAGTCACTGTGAATGTAACTTGTAGCCGTAAAGGCAGCAGGGCATTTACTGGACCATTTGATTTGCATAACAAGTAAACGGCTTGATCATTCACGGTTGCAAATTGAACAAGAAAAAGACATTCTTTTAATGGTAGGAAGTTAACCAAAAAAAAAAAAAAGTCATTTTTCCCCTTCTTTTTGAACGTCGTTAAACGGGATATTGAGAAGTCTAGATAAAAATACACACATATTTATAGGTAATCAAGAACTTTGTCTAAACATGATAAAGGGAAACTAACCAAGAGAAGATGAAAGGTTCATCCAAGCTGTTGAAAACGTTGATAATCAAGTTATCATTAGTCACTGCCTCAATCTGTGGGCCTGGAAATTGCCCATTAATCAATATCCCCTGCCATTAATTATATCAAGACTCCATATAAATCAACATCTTAGAAAATTATAAATAAATTAAGCAAAAAGAAAAAATAGGAGAAAACGGGTCTGGTCACCTTACCTGTTGCTTTACTCCAAGTGGGTAGATATCACCATAAGTAACATTCCATGAGTAGAACCTATAAGGGTCTTCCCCAATAGTGCATGTCACTAACAACAAGACCACTAGCATGAAAGAGTACCACGTATTCTTGCTGTAGTACTCACCCACCATCTCTCACTCTCCAAAAGACTCCCAAGTAATGAGGTTCGCTATATGGAGAAGCAACAATGGGAGAAGGAGAAGAAGAAATCTTGAAACAGAGAACAACTCCCTTGTCGACTTTAAGTCTGTAAAGCCTTGTCTAGAACTAAGTAAACTTTTCCCTTTTTCTTTTTCTTTTTAGCTTTGGGAGCTTTAATTTATCTTCTTTGTTAGGACAATGTCGGTGATTCAAATTCTTGTTTTAGTTTTTAGAATAGATCTCTTAGCAGGTAGGGCTAAGGGTATGGCCCTTCTCTTATAGCGTTAAGCTGAAATCAATTTGCAGCAATGAGCTGTCTTCGCTGCTGGTTGCAGTATCTAAGGGAGGCGTAGGACCGTCCACACTTCACAGTCCACACCGCGTTTCTTGAATCAATTGAAGTAAATTTGATTGACATCAGCAAAGCGGCGTGTGTTATATTCGCGCTTTGAATTACAGATTTGGCCTCCTTTCCTCCTCCTAAAAATACCCAAGAGACATGGATAGATGCTGCTAAAAATCACAAGTGGTAACACAGCCATGCATAGTTTAGCAGTTCATATATAGTAGTTTTTTTCAGCAAAATAAATTCTGGTTTTAATTAATTTAATTTATTATATAATAAAAAATGACTACTATTATTGTGTAGTTTAAGATTCATAGACTTTTCGATCAACTAAAAAAAATCACAAGCGATATTTTCTCTTGTGAAAAACCTCTCACTTCAATGATTTTGTTTTTCTAAAGATGGAGATTCATTATTAGTCGTTTTCTTATAAACAAATCAAACGAGGCCAAATATAAAGTTTTTCGTCCAACCCGGGCTGGCCCATTACCATCCCAACTAAGGTCTTTTTGGGTTTTTTGTTTTCTTGACAAGGAGGGTTACTATTAGTAATGCAACATATAGAAGCTTTTGATTTGTTTTTTTTTTTTTTTATGCAAAACTAGATTTTGATTTCTTGTAATTAAAAAACAAAAGAGAAAGAGAGAATACTTTTTTTTTAATACAATTTTTCGCCTAATGGTATAAATAAGAGTCAGCATGGTCTGCTAGGGTATTAGTAGCTGACACAAACTTTTACTCCCTACCAACCGCATACAACTTTCAGCAATCAGTATAATCAATAACTAGCCAGTTGCCTGCGATCGGCGAGACATTAGGCAGATCTCTGTTCTTTCGTACATATTACTATTAATTAATTGGTCACTCAGACCTCTGTGTTTGACTTGCAAATCTTCGAATACAATAAAACAAAGAAAACTCAGACCAAAGTCCCTTGATATTGCGGTTTGATGTTGGAAATTGGTATTCCAGCGTTGTTGCTTGATGGAGAAAGGTAATCGGTGGTGCAGATTTGTCTCCATAGCTAGGGCTTCGGTTTCGAAGTCATCTGTCTTTTCATAAATCGCAATACGCTGCAATTCACGTTTCATTTTGTTTTATACAAAGACAACTTGTCATTAATAGTGTTATCTGCTTGATTTCAACGAAACACTGCTGGCATTATGCAAAGGTAAATTAGAGATTTCTTTTTGGCACCATCATATACAGGCTACCAACTATCAAGTAGAGGTTTTTTATATTGACTCATACTAAAGGCTGTCAAGGATCATGTTGTTTCACGAGCAAAAATTTGAAGTCATTAATGGTTTTGGTTGATTTTGATATTTAATTTTTTTTAAGAAAAGGTCTTAAGTTAAAAAAAATATATAGCAATGAACAGTTCACCGCTGTTCTTTGTTTTTTTTTGGCCAGCCCCCTCGGGCCTTCTTTCCCTTTTTTTCCCAGGTCACTGTTCATTAAACAGTAAACGGCTTTCTACTCTTTTTTTTTCCTTCTTTCTAACGCTGAATAGTTTTTTTTTTTTTAATTTTCGTCTGTTCACTGTTCATGTCGTTTACTGTTCATATGAACAGTAACAGCTGGGTTCTTTTGTTTTTTCTAAACACTGAATTTGTTTTTTAATTTTCGTTTCTTAATAATGTTGGGTGTTAAAATTTTATAGAAACCAATAATTAATTGAGTGTTAAAATTTTCAAGAAACCAACAATTATTTTCTTTATTATTTATTTCTAAAATTGAAAATATCTAATTTTTCTTTTGTTGTGATCATTTTTTTATTTTCGTTTTTTAAAAGTGAACGATTTTTTTTTTAATTTTCGTTTCTGAATAATGTTGGGTGTTAAAATTTTCAAAGAACCAACAATTAATTGGATGCTAAAATTTTAAAGGAACCAACAATTTAATTCCTTTATTATTTATTTCTAAAAGTTTAAAATATCTAATTTGAAAAAATATTTTTTTTCAAAAAATAATTATGTCTATAATTACATACTATCACATGATATAATTTATTAATTAACAATTACATAAGATGTATTTCTCAAAAAAAATAAAGTACATATATTATAATAAAGAATTTTACTACTCATCATTTGTCATTTATTGCTATTTTCATTAATTTTTCATTTGTTTTAAATTCTCATCCAATTAATTTTAAATTATATTTACTCATAGTTTTGATTTATTTTAATATTATTCATCTAATTAATAAAAATTAAATTCACATTTTTTTCAAAAATCATTACTCTCATCAACATGAAATATATATATATATATATATTTGTTAAATTTTATGTAAGCTTTTAGTGATTGTTATTTTTTTTTTTTTGACACAATCTTATAAAATACTAAAGCTTTTTTAAAAACATTATTTAATTTTTTTTTAATTAATAATCCATGGATTAACAAGGATAAATCCTTTTTGTAAAGAAAAAAATATGAAAAACACAAATAAGAACTAGTTAGATAGAAAAGTTTTTTATTAAAAACTTATAATTATTTTTTTATTTTTGATTTCATATGTTGTTATAGATTTATACTATAAAACAGATTATTAAACCGAAATAATTTTATATATTTTATTCAACCGCAATGTAGCGTGGGTCAAAAATCTAGTTACTAATACTCTAAAATATAAAGCATATTCACCGTGCATTTCACTATTCAATGAACAGTGTTTTCTAGCTTTTTTTTTTGGTAAAACACTTTATTGTTTTTTTTTTCCTCTCCCGGCCTTTATTCCACTTTTTACAAGCACGGTTTTTTTTAGGAAGTTTATTTATTAGTATTTTTTTTTAGTTTAGTTTCACTATACATGGGTTTTTTTTTTCCTTTTTTCCCCTTGCTTCTTTTTTTTTTCACCAATTTGGGTTCTTTTTTATTTAATCGATGCACTACATATTTTAGTTTCACTATATATTTTAGTTTAGTTTCATATTCACTCGGGTTCTTTTTTTTTCAGCTTTAAAATTTTCGGGTTTGTTTTATTTTGACCTCTAAAATTTTAAAATAAAAACTTTAATCCTCTAACCGATGCACTACATATGATTTTTTCTTTGCTTTTTTTCATCAATTTCTGTTTTTTTTATTTAATTAGGTGTTAAGATTTTGAAAAATTAATTTTTCTTTTTTTTCATCAATTTATGTTCTTTTTTTATTTAATTAGGTGTTAAAATTTTAAAAAATCAATCATTATTATTTTTTTTTACAAACTAACTATTACATAATCTATACGATACTTTTTACATTTATATGTTTCTTTGCTTTTTTTCATCAATTTATGTTCTTTTTTATTTAATTAGGTGTTAAAATTTTAAAAAATCAATCGTTATTATTGTTTTTACACAAACTGACTATTATATAATTTATATATATGATTTTTTTATATTTATAAGATATATTATTTTTTTTGTTTCACCATACATTCCTTTTTTTCCTTTGCTTTTTTTTTTCATCAATTTAGGTTCTTTTTAATTTAATTTTTTAAAATTTTTAGATTATTTTATTTTGATCACTAAAATTTTAATCCCCATACCGATGCATTACACATGCTTTTTCTTCTTTTTTTCGTGTTTTTTTTCATCAATTTATGTTCTTTTTTTATTTAATTAGGTGTTAAAATTTTAAAAAGTCAATCATTATTCTTTTTCTTTTTTTACATAAAGTGACAATTATATAATATATATGAATTTGTTTTACATTTATATGATATGTTTTCGGATTTTAGAATAAATAAACTACTATTATTGTTTAAAATTTATCTTTTCAATAAAAATTCCCAACAAGTTAATTTTTATTCTTATTTTTTATATAATTTTATTTATTAATAGATAAGACTTATTTTCTCTATGTATGGTTTAGAATAATTTTTTTTTGTATCTATTTTAATTTTTTTAATTCTTATATAATCAAATTTAAAAAATTGAATATATGTATTTTATTTTCTTATTTTTTATATAATCAAATTTTATCGAAATTATTTTTATAGTTTTTAATGCACTATATTAACTTCAATATATATTTTACTATTTAATTTTTTAAAAATATTTTTTCAGTTTATGTTATATATTCTCACCTATTGAGTATGGTCATAATGTATAAAAAATAATAATATTAGATTCGTTGATTTTATTAGAAAGCAACTATGCATCTACAAACACAATACCAACTATTTACTATTATTTTTTTAATATCTAAAATGATTTTTTCAAATAAAATAATTGAAATAATATTTTAGAATAATTGCCTAATAATTCAAATACAATTTTGTATGCTAATATTATTCATTATTTTGTAAATAAATATATGTAAATCAAATATATATATTTAAAAAAAACAATATTCTCATCGGTAAAAAGTTTTATTTGTTAATTTTCATATAAGTTTTTATGTTAATTGTTGCTTTATTTCTTTGATGCAATATAATGAACAAAACATGAAGATGTTTTTTTTCTAAATTTTATATTAAATTTTTTTTATTATGGGTTTTCATATATATATATATATATATGTGTGTGTGTGTGTGTGTGTGTGTGTGTGTGTGTGTGTGTGTGTGTGTGTGTACACTATCTTTTTTATATTTTAAAATTAACATATATTTCAGCTTATATTACTCTTATAATTTAAATTTCACTCTTTGAATTT